GACGAGAGGTTGATATCAGTGCAGAGCATTCTGGAGAGAATGGAGATGAAGATGGCACAAATACTCTCTTTGCACCAAGAACTGCAGTCAACGCTGAGTGCATTTGTGTCTAAAGTGGACAGAATAATTCAGTATTCTGATTCGCTTCAGCAGGCCAGAATGCCCAAGCGACCTTACGTTACGAACGATGTTGGTCTCTTCTATAGAATGAGTGCGCTTTTGCATAACGGGACAACCGTTTGCTTACAATTGATGTGTGAGTCAGTGACTGGGTTTCACACTGTCAAAGATCAAGAAGGTTTGAAGCTACGCTTGGATCACGAGAATAGCTCGTGGATTCGGAAAACTATCGAAATTTCATACAAAGTCATGTATTATGCTGTGAAGGCTGGACTAGATAAGACACTCGGTTTGGGCCAAGCGATTCCGGACTGGGGAGATTTAAAATCTGATATTGTTCAACTAGACGGTATTAGTGATGATGATCATAGGGCATTTCTCAAAGGTGGGAAAAGCAAGGAGCTGCAAGAAGCATGGTTGAGGATTCAGCAAACTCTTGCGCCTCAGCTTCAAAATCACTATTCCAAAATCTTCAAGTTGTATCAGGTGAAATACGTCAGTTTAGATAAAGGTGGGCATGCATGGCTGTGCGAGAAGTGCATGAATAAAGGCCTTCGTTGTGGAATTTTGACATGTTAGGATTTTGAAGACGTTAGAATGTCACTAGGCAATTGACAAGCATATGTTTCGACCCTCAGGCAATATACAACTCTGCAAATTCTTCCTTGCAGTTTTCACAAGAAGAAGTCTTTTATAATCTTTGCCATCATGTCAATCACACAGTTATGTTTCTGAAGAAGATCATTGTTCGGCTAAATTATCAAGATGACTTTTTGTGGGTAGAGTGTTCATATTGTCTCGTTGCAAGTCTTACTGTGATGAAAATCCTTCCCTTGACATGTGAGGGTGGTCACGTTGAACTTCCAGACATATCCCTGCCTGACTGATTCTTTTGTCCCACGATGAAGGTTCAACAATTGTAAGATGGACCGGAACTAAAAATTAAGATGTGTTATCATTTTCAGGTAGTATCCGTGTTTAAACAAGAGAGCAATATAGTCTAAAGAAAATGCTTTTTCTCAAATTTATGCACAATATCGGATCTGTGAAGATGAGAAATTCGTATCTCATGTGAATCTGCTTTTGGCGCTTCTTTGTATGATCAGAAGATTTCACAAGATTCCTCAGGCCTACCTCCAGTTTGAATGCATCTTACCGGTAAAACAAAACCTGTGCACAAATCTCTCTCCTAGGATATATTGTTGAGGCGTTATCAGATTTTTTCTTTCCGTATTCTTCGTGCAACACCCTGATAACATACTATTTCATAGCGGGGTTCTCAGTGCATTTAAAATCGCCAGCACGCTCAGAATTGTCACGTGTGTATAAATGTGTATCTTGTAAAATCTTGTAAGTCAGATTCAAACATCTCAATTCGAGATAAATTCTGTTTTTTTTTATCTAATGTTTCATGTGATCTTGCTTGAGCCTTATATAGATATAGATATATATATATATATTAAAACAGCTTCCAGCATCTTTGCCACCCATTGAGATTAATGGGGAAGAGAAATTTGAATCTTTGAAGATGTTCGATTTTCGCAATTAAAAATATATTTGATTATCTTGTACATTGGCATGATTATGAAATAAGCTAATAAATTTAAAAACTTGCAGCAAATCTTGATAACATGATCTAAAAATTTCATAGTCATGAAATTGATAATAAAAATCCAAAAAAATCCAAAATTCAAAAATAAAAAATGTTCAAAAACTTTTAATCGATACGTGACAAAATCGAATGCAAAAACAACTTGAATCCAACATGTTCAAACCGTGATCTCCAAGCTACTTTTCACCCAAATTTACTTCAATTAACTTTTAAATTATTCATCATGGTCCCAGAAAAGAAAAAAATTTTAACTTGCATATGTTTCAAACAAGCTCTAGACTCATCATTCAATTACGAACATTTATCAATACTCCAAAAGGAATAATCTAACTTAAATCTATATTGATGAAACAAGTCCTCATACAATAAACTCTCCAAACTTGCTTGAGAGTTTATTTTTATCTCAATATTTTTATTATCTACAAAATTACTGTAGTACAATAAATATGTATCACCTAACTAACTTTAATAACATAAACTTTGATATAATTGACTAATTTTCATTATGTGACAACATGTCATTGGTCTATTTAAACTATCTACAAATTTCCTTGTCTCTAGATTTGAGGTGGCGACATGTCACTTGAAATACTCAAAATACTAGATTTTATATTTTATATTTTACATTAAGTCAATTAAGATTTAGTCTTATTAATGAGTTTTATTTTATTTACTTAAATCATTCAAATTTAAAATGTGGATAAAGTATTATATTCTTGAAATCTAGACTTTGATAGAGGAAAAAATAGTACTGATCATGTAAATCTTCTAGAAATATCTTGATTATTGTGCTAAGTATAGATAAATTATAGTTAAATTTAGTCATAACAAACTAGACTTAGTCATATTTTAAGCTAATCATGGTAAATTTTTTGGCTAATTCTACTACTACGTCACACAAACAACAATTGCTCTAATAATACCAACACTAGCACTAGATTTAGGTATGTAATTATCACATTGACTTTTTGTAATAAATTTTTAGCTTTTGTGCTTGATAACATAACTTTAGCATTTTGTGGAGCAAAATTGATGTAGACAACTCAACAAGATGCTAGTATCTATGGTGATGTTTTGACGATCAAGACATCGCTATTGGACAACTTGGAGTCTAGTAACGATGAAGGTGTTTTGGATTTGCTTGAATTATATATAGAAAATCTTGGAACATTATCCTACTCTCGTCAACACTTGTTATATTTTACTCTTACGTTTATGAATCATAATTTGTTTTTGGACTTTTGAATCTGTTTCAACCTTATTTTTGTTTGGGTTTGATGTATTTCCTCAATTTTTATTATTGTTTTGTCCAAAAGTTGCGTCCGCAACAATGATATGCAATATATCTATTATTGCTCTAGATCAAACAAATAAAAGCCTGAAAAGATGTAATGAAAATTTGAATTGAATTTTGAGATAACTTAAGATTATAAAAGATTATAGTCTTATGTTTAAAGGTATATAAAAAGTATGAACCGTTCTTGCTGCACCAGTCAACACAAGATTTTGAAAACCAAAAATTTAAAACTGAAAATTTGATTATATTCTACATGTATGCATATTAAAAAACTAAATTTTAGAAGTGCATAGATTAGTCAACAAGAAAATTAAATATGTAATGGCAGCACAAGTAACAAAAGATTCATATGATTGATTTCACTTATCAGTTAAATAGATTAAAAAAATCATGTTGTCAAGCTTCATTGTGATTTAAAAAATATATATATCATATAGCAAATAAAATGATGAATTGAAATATGAAATAAATCAACATAATGTAGCTTTTTATTTGAGAAAAAATTTCTAATAACAAGCTTGTTTAGATTAACAGAAAATTAAACTTCATTAATTAATTGATCAAAAGTAATCCTTTGGAGAGTTTTGAATTGAATTGTGCTAATTTCTGGATATATTCGCGAGTAAATAAAAATAATTTTTGCAATATTTTTAACACTTATTTTTTTTACTCTATTATGTTTTAAAAAAAATCTAGTTTAGACAAGTTTATATGTTAGGTTTCTTTCTACAACTTTTTCTATTGGATTTATATAGGTTTTGAAGATTACAGTCCTCAAAACAGGATGAAAAGGGGAGGTTTTTGAGAGTGAATTCAGGTAAGCTTCATCCAAGTTGTTCGCGTTCAATAGATTTTTATTATGTGATAAAGCCTATTTGAAATTCTTAATGACATTTTTGAGAATAGATTTTTTGAAGCATACTGCAATCACAGACCACATATTTCTACTGTTGCATTTTCATTTTTTTTTCCTAGATTGTTCTTGGTATGTGATTGCGTTTGAAAACAAGTTAAATTTGAACTTTCAGTAGAAAATTGATAATATATGAAAAATGTTGTACTTTTGCCATTACAGATTAAAATTCAACTTAATATATTGAATGATATTAAATAAAATTTACATTGTATAAATTATGGAATTATAATCAAAATTTTATCCCACATAATTGAATACATGACAATTAATTATATAGAAATCAGTTGTAAAGAAATATAGTTGAAATGGGATTCTTAGTTTTATATATTTTTTGTTTATACTTTAATGTATAATAGCAAATAAGTTAAATTTATGTTGTTCATGACGACTCATGTACAAAATTTATACAAGAATAAAACTAGAAATAAATATGTATTTACATTTGGATAGTGATGTATTGATTCAACTTCTATACTGCAAAAATGTATAGTTTAGTTCCACAAATTGCTACTCCTACATATTTAATTTTTGTTCCTATTACAAGGTTAAAAATTTTATGTAAGAAAAAAAATACAAGAGCACTTATTGAATAGAATGGATTTATTTTTTGGTTGTATATCAACAGGATATTGTCAATAATCATTATGATAACAAGTAAACAAAAAGTATCGCACTGAATAAAGTGATTGATAACATTACAATTGATGAAAACCTTAAGCTAATTAGATTCTTTTATGTACTGAGAGAGGTGACAAACTACCTATATACATCAACTTATTTTTTTTATTGTGAAAGTATGTAGTTTTGCCATTAAAAGCACAATTAAATGTAAAAAAGAAATATATTATATTTTTATTACATTTTACTTTTTCATCAACTTTAATATATTAAAAATACCATGTTCAAAATAAAATATATGATAACTATGAATGTTTATATTTAACGCATTGAGTCAAATTCACATTTAAACTGTGCATAAAAAAAAGAAAAAAGTATAGAATTAAAAGAACGGATGAATCCCAAAATATATATTTGAAACAAAATCACACACAATAAAAAATATTGTATTTTACAAAATATGAACTCGAACAATCTTGAGTACATTACTTGGAGTCATGATATGTGACACTTCATCATCTTCAATTCTTGGTGAACTAGCAATATAAGATTATTCAATATTTCGAATAATGTAAATAATCTTCTGATCATTCAAAGATAATCATAAACTAATACGGACAGCAAACAATAACTGGACTGAGGATTCTCGAGGTACCTGATTCCGTTGACAAGGTTAGACCGAGGGGAGGAAGAAGATACAGACACAAATCAAACTGCTGGCTTCAAAACAAAGGCATATTTAAGGGAATTATTTTCCACTGAAGTTCCCCTTTGAAGCCTTAGATTGAAGTACTCAGAGGAACGAGCGTTCGTTATTTACTGGCCAATAACATTCAATCCTGCCTTGCGGTAGACGTCCGAAGGCAGTCGCCTCGTTATGAGTAGATTCAAGGGATTCCGCCTCCCTACGCTGATTCCGAACTTCTCTTCAACATCTACGTCCAGATGAGTCAAGCCTTCGGGCAGGGAGATTGAACAAGCATGAACCAGCTGGGCGAGGGTATAGGACACAGAGACGAGCGCCAAATTCATGCCCGGACACCTCCTTCGCCCAGAACCGAAGGGCAGAACCTCATAATGCTGCCCTTTCACATCTATAGGGCTGTTTAAGAATCTTGAAGGATCAAACTTCAGAGGATTTTCCCAAACCTTAGGATCTCTACCAATGGCATATAGGTTCAAAGTCACTCGGGTATTGGCGGGGATATCGTATCCTGCTACTTTTGTTGCTTCCATAGAACAGTGAGGAGCTAAAACACCGATTGGGTGCAACCGTAGTGTCTCCTTCACTACTGCCTGCAGATATTCGAGTTTCTGGAGATCAGCTTCTTCAACCAGCCTCTCTTTACCGATCACATCGTCGAGCTCACTCTGAAGTCTTTCCATAATGTTGGGATGCCTCAGAAGCTCAGTCATAGCCCACACAATCGTATTAGAGCTGGTATCAGTTCCACCAATAATGATGTCCTGATTGAAGCATCACCAACATCAGTTATCTTGTGCATTGAAAATGCTACATGATAAACGACTGATTATATTGATATTCACAGGCACGTAAATCTGAGTATCTTCACCACTTTCATCTTTACACTCTTTTTGCATGGAACTTTCATTACCGAAAATATATCTAACTAGAATCATGATGAACTTGACCATGTGGATGAATTTCAACAAGAAAGTGGGCTGAACATAACCTTCAAACCTTGAAACATAACGTGAACTTCTACGACTCAAAAAGAAAGACGATCCTCATGCAATGCATTATTCGAGCGAAACAGATCAGCATCGATCACAAACCAGAAGAAGATATTTGAGTTGATCACGTGTAAAGTCGCTCATAGCCAGCAGCACGTCCAAGAAGTCCTCCTCGTTATATGACTTCGAGTTCGTTTTTTCCTTCAGGCGGTCGTCAATGATGGACTCCATAACTTCGTAATATTTTTCGGCTGCCAGTTTCAGCTTTTTAATTCGTCCACTCAGATCCAGCGGCTTCAGCAAAGGGAAGAATTCTTCTATGAAGAAAAAATCCGAGCTTGATACTTCGATCATGGTTTTGTGAAAGTCTTGATTATGAGCACCTGCACCCCTTCGAAACATCATTCTGGTCGTAATGGACATAAACAGTTCGTGCATTATACCAGCAAAGCTTATGTAACGATTCGCATGACCCTCCTCGAATGCTGTGGACATCGTTTTCACCAGCAACTCTCGTCTCAAATCCTACACAATTCAGTAATTTACGTTAGCAGTGGGAAAAACTCACAAGATCATGCACCAGCTCTTCTGCAAAGTTCAAATGTGAGCCAAATCTTGCAGTGTGTCCTCATGCGCAGAATAAGCAAGAGAAGATGAGAAGAACTACCTGTAACATGAAGGACGGAAGACCTAATATTCGTTCTGGCTTACAAGGGCAGAAATCCATATCACCTCGTATAGTAATTTCTTCAGAAGATTATAGTAATTGGACTCAGATGTGAGATGACGTCAGACAAAACATCTCGCCTCATGTACTTCTTAGACTCGGAGTGTGCACGTGGACAGATTCTTACAATGATATAGACTTGTACCTTAAATGAATCGATTCGTTGTTGAGAAAGTAATTGTGTGGTACACACTTTCCGGACTAGACGAACGTGGTCATTCCAAGGACTAAATATCAGATCCTGACCTTTCCCAAAAACTAAATCTCCAACAAGGGTTGAAGGGCGGGAAGCAAATATGTGATCTTGGGTTTTCAGAATCTCCCTGGCGATATCCGAGGAAGACACAACCACAACACCCACAGCTCCCAGGTCGAGCCACATTATGGGTCCATATTTTTCAGCGATTTTGGCGAGCGTTTGGTGAGATGACCCAGATACAAGGTGATGGAGGTGGCCAATAAATGGCAAAGATGGAGGTCCAGGAGGTCGTCTCCCGGACTTATGCGTAACTCTCCTGAAAACCTTCAGAAAGACGTACAGGAAGCCGACTGCTGCAACAGTATGCACAAACCAGCTTTTGAAGACGGCAATAAGTTCCTCCACATTTGTCTCGCCCATCTCTTGTTCAACTCAAAATCAGAATCGGTTACAAGCCGTGCAGAGTGAATCAATGATTTCACTGATGAGCAGATCATGGTATCCGTAGAATGTGTGAACATCGAACTAAATAGTGGAATGAATTGTCACCGCACAGTCTTAAACTGAAGAACACGGTCGGTACCCCGAGATGTTACGTTGATCTCCACCGACATAATTTTCATATTGTCATATATTTTACATTTCTATAATTCACAGATTTCAAGATTTTCAGACATGTAGATGATAATTTAAGTTGTTAAAATTCTCACCACCACGCAATCTCATCAACAACCAATTACAAGCATGCATACGCATTCTACATGTTTTTAGACCCATTGATTTGCGATGAGTATGTATCTAGTATATTCAGCAATTATGACAGAAGTGTCACGCATGGGTTTTTAATTATTTCCGGTGTTATGAAAACTTCTCTAGGTCTAGTAGACTCTAAACAATATAAACAACGATGAAATCAATCTTGAATATAAGTTTCTCACTGGAGGTATAATTTATCATTTTAAGTGAACTGATTCAAAACTCCCAGAAGACGTAGATGAAGCATTCAACTTCACTGTTCCTATAGGTGTAAGATTGAGTGTCACAATAATTCTAAGAACAGATGTAACTCACAAACCAGATGTATAATACAATTTCATTTCTTACACATTCATTTTATCCTCTCCATGCTGTCAACTAGTTGAAAATTCCTTTTAATGGCCGAGAAAGATATTGTAGTTACAAGATGATTCTTTGCAAAATTATGTCGGAAAGATTGTACCGATGTTATGCAATTATCAATACTTTTGCTCGTCATGTGTGGTGAATAGAGTGTCAACAACTCCACCACTGCAGCGAAATTCAACGTGCTATTATACATGTGTCTGAATGTATCGGACATTCACATTCTAATATTCACTTTGACTTAGTAATGCATGTAATTATTAATTGGATCAATAATAATAATTGCATGTAATTTAGTATTATATTCCAATTAGAAAATTCAAGCAAGTTTTGAAGTTTTTCTTATAACTATTGACTGTATCTAATTCACCTGATTCCGATATGTTGTTGCAGCTAGAGAGTCTTTTGTACTCAGTTATCTCCTACCTTTCTCAGAGTATATTTTTCTACGAGTGCTTCATTATTGCTACTTTCGACCGTGCCATCGAGACTTGACGACTGTGGCTCATGTGTGCATGGACTTGGACCGTGCACGATGCGCACATGCTGTCTATGAACCAGTTTCAGCTGTTCGCAGTCCATGACTTGGATTCGCATTGTGAAGTCGGCAAGCGCTTTGCATGGGGATATGATGATGATGATATACGTTGATCTCCACCGACAAGGAGGACTTTTGTGGCCACGACAAGACACAGGGTGTAATCCAGTAGCCCGAACAACCGACTGGAAGACGAGCAGAAGAGTGGAGAGTAAAGATTAGACCATTATTTCCATCTTTGCCATTGATTGGCCACCTCCATCACCTTATATCTAGGTTGTTGCTCCACACTCTGGCCAAAATCGCTGAAAAATATGGACTCATAGTTTGGCTCGACCTGGGAGCTATAGTTGTTCTGGTTGTATTTTCCTCGGATATGAAAACTCAAGATCGCATATTCGCTTCCCGCCCTTCAAGCTTAATTGGAGATCTGATTGTTGGGAAAGGTCAGGATCTAGTGTTGAGTCCTTTGAACGACCACTTTCGTCTGTCCGGAAAGTGTATACCACACCATTTCTTTCGCAACAACGGATCGTTTCATTTAAGGTAAAATCTATATTATCGTATGAGTCTGTCCACGTGCAGACTCCGAGTCTAAGAGGTACAGGAGGCGAGATGTATTGTCCGACGTCATCTCACATCTGAGTCCAATTACTATATGGCTCTACGAGGTGCTACTGATTTCTGTGATTAGCGAAAGTAGACTAAGATGTCAGAGACATCTACAACAACACAAGAGTAGAATCTAAGAATTTAGTCTTCAATGTTTTTAGAAGTAGAAAAGGGCAATGTATGGTCAGAGTTATGGCAACAGGCAACTTGTATGTGGCACAAGTAAGTAGGGTCACTTTAAATACTGTCTCAAGTTCGGTGTTTAACACACATCCATACTCTTTTAGCACTAAAATCTAAGGGTTATCCTTCAAATTCTGCATAAATTTCAAATATTCGTACGCGTCAGAAGTACGATTGACACATGAGCTATGAGAATTTATGATCAAAACATATCTTTTAATTTGTGATAGACACATCTAGAGTTCGATTGTTTGTTTTCTTGCCTACGTCTTTTTTTACATAAGATCAAAATATGATTTCTAGAAAAGTTTTAATTTTCTAGAAATTATGCGTAATGTATTCAATCAACAATCAAAAGTAACGTTTTCAATTTTGTAAAGTTTGATACAAGAAGAAAATATGTATCAAATAAAATCTAATGTTCTTCATCAAACAAGATGCTTACTTTACATGGGTGAATGTGGTAGCGCAGTTTTTGTTTTTTTTTTTGGAAATTAAAACATTTTTGAATAGTAAATACCGCGGTAGCAGCTGTAAATAATAATCGGTACACTAAAACAAAGTAAAAAGGGAATCTCGGGTCTAGGGGAATAGAAGGCAGTCTAGGGGTTTGGGGCTTAGGCCACATTCGGGCGCCTAGGACGAAACGGGCGGTTCATGCTACAGGGCCCGCTTCAAGCGCCTACGGCATTAGCGCCTTCGGCGCAAGTAGAGGAAAGTTCCTTCGGCTCAAGCTCCTCGGCGGAGGTTCTATCGCGGAAGACGTACGAAGCATGTATTACGGAACCCCTTTGTTGGTGGAAGCGACCTCGTCTGTAATAACCCACCAAAGGCTAAAACTGCAGTATAGTAGCAAAAAGGTCGATCCCACAGGGACAGAGGCAACACACAGAGTACAAAGTGTCACGTTTAACAGACTATTGAAGAGTTTGAATTCTCAGGCGACTGTCACTCCCAGACATACTGCAAGTGCTCAACTCGGAGGTCACTCAGAGGACGCACAGTGCAGCGTAGTTCACCCAACACACACCTGAAACTGGAAAAGCACAACTCAAAGGTCGGTTAGGACCTCTACTTAAGATTTCAGGGGGAAAGTTTCTCAGGAGTACACTCAGAGGCTCTGCAGGTAGTGACTCCCAACTCCAGCTTTTACAACCCTTCCACTAGTTTCTGCTAGAGCAAGGCATCCGGGTTGGACTTCCTACTTTGGATGCGGTACCTTCGTCAAACCGAAGTCACTCACATGCGGTGAACAACACACTCAGCTCACAAAACGCGCAGAGAATACAGGTCCGAACTGAGAAACTCAACTGAGAAAAGATCCAGTGGCACACCATAACAATCTATTGACGAGTTTGAATTCTCATGCACTAGTCATTCCCAAAAATACTGTAGAGGCTAGCCCCGAGAGCTAGCCTCTGCAGTATTTAGCGTAACCTGAATTACAACCAAGGCTTACTCGAAGTGACAAAAATTCACTTTGGCATTCAGGGAAAACGTCCTGAAGGAGTACAAACAGGAACAATCATCCAAAGGTGTAAGGACGAACTGCTCAAGTATCTAACCAGTTACTAGCTCTCAGCATTCGGCAATCACTCGTAGGTGTAGATCCAAACTGCTCAAGTATCTAACCAATACATGTAATAACCCACTAAAGGCTAAAACTGCAATATAGTGGTAGAAAGGTCGAACCCACAGGGACAAAGGAACACACAGGGTACAAAGTGTCACATTTAACAGACTATTGAAGAGTTTGAATTCTCAGGCGACTGTCACTCCCAGAAATACTGCAAGTGTTCACTCGGAGCTCGCTCGGAGGTCGCACAGTGCAGCGTAGTTCACTCAACACACACACACACACACACACACACACACTTGAAACTACAGAAACACAATCCAAAGATCGGTTAGGACCTCTAGTTAAGATTTCAGGGGGGAAAGTCTCTCGCGGGTACACTCAGCGAATCTGCGGGTAGTGACTCCCAACTCCGGCTTTTACAACCCTTCCACTAGCCTTCTGCTAGCGTGGGAAACCCGGGTTGGACTTCCTACTTTGGATCGAAGTCACTCACACGCGGTGAACAACACGCTCAACTCACAAAACGCGCAGAAAACACAGGTCCGCACGGAGGGACTCAACTGAGAAACGATCCAGTAGCACACCATAACAGTCTATTGAAGAGTTTGAATTCTTAGGCACTTGTCATTCCCAGAAATACTACAGGGGTTACTCCGAAGGCACCTGCTGCAGCGTAACCTGAATTTACAACCAAGGCTTACACGAAGTAGCAAAACTTCACTTTGGCATTCAGGGGAAAAATCCCGAAGGAGTACAATCAGGAACAAACACTCGAAGGTGTAGGGGTGAAGCTGTTCAAGTATCTAACTAGACACTGGCTCTGAGCATCAGCAATCACCCGCAGGTGTAGATCCAAACTACTCAAGTCTCTAACCAATGTACTAGCTCTGAACATTCGGCTGAAGGCCTTCAACTACACAATGCGGACCGCCAAGGTGTAGCTCCTCTTGCGTGGTGACAGAACTAAGGACACAAACACGCAGAGAAAATGAGTTCCTGATCTGCACTTCCGAAACTGGAAAAATCCCAAGGCAAGACGCCTTGAACTACTTTATACCTTCTAAGTCCTAACTAGCACTACACTGCACTACGCTACACGCCTGCACGGAACCACGCTACACTACACTCCGCAGAACCTATGCTTCGCCTCCTGCGCGACGGACTGCCGCGCACTAACTCCCTACCCTGCCAGTCCTCCGCTCGACTGCGCAGTCCCAATCGCCGCAACACCGCGGAAACCTCCGACTCGAGGATGGCCATGGTGTCCCGCGATCTCGACAGAAAAGAGTCTAGCTTCTTCGCCACTCGCCGCCGACTCCGACTGTCACCTGCCAACAACCCGGCTGCACGAAGCTCTAACTCGCGCAGTGTGAGTTTCTCCTGCGCCGCCACTTCCCAGTGGGCATAGCCCCTGAGACAATGGGTGACTCGCCTTGCCATCTCTTCCTTCGTGCGATCTGCCTCCCGCCGGCGATCGTCTTCAACTACAACCAACTGCAATTCGGCCTCCGCACGCTCTACTCTCAATTCCCCGCACTCGGACTGCAGTCTGCGGATTAATTCCTCATCCGC